TCCTAATTTCTCTCGACATCGACATCGGAGATAAATATTGCGCGGCACGCTCGTCTTTGGGCTTATTGTAATCAGCATTGTTATTGATCGCCTGCCTGAACCCTGCAGAAGTAATCTATTTTAAACACACTTCCTGCAAAATGGGGGAAGGGGTGGCGGCGGTTGTCACAACACATTGTGTGCCATATTGGTGAGGGCCGCCCAACGGTGAAGAATAAACAAGTAGGAAGTGCTCCAGCCTGCTGGAGAGAACCAGAAAACCATGCAAACAGATTGACAGATTGATATATTACATGTATGCTGTGGGGAAAATGTCTTGCTTTTCAGTTTCGGTGGTCTCGTGGTTGCGCCTGTCACTTTGTGCGAGYGTGTGTGTTTGTGTGTATTTGTCAGTCTCAGCAAGGCTGGAGGATGATGGATGAGGGCCCAGCTAGCGGCGAGTCAGACGTCTGCACGATCGATTCATCCTCACATGCGTCTGGGAGGAAGAGGAGCTCCGAGGAGGAGGCAGCAGTGGCGCRAGTCAACACAAGCGCACCTCGATTTGAGCGCCCGCAAACATCCGTTTACAGTATAGTGTTTCAAACGGGGAGAYGACTCTCGGCAGGAGGCGTGGAGCTTTGGTGTAACTTCTTCATTGTCTGCTGAGGATGATGACTGCCTCGGTGTTTTCATTGATCCACCTGCAAAGTGGCACCCACTTGTTTAACATCCAGTCTAATACGCTTCGGTCGGCTCAGCCGTGTCAGTCTGCCAGTCCATCCTGATGTTTAGTTCTGTGGACAAAGATGAAAAAAAATAGTGATTTAGTTTTGAAAAGCATGTCRTTGGGTTTCTCAAGGTGGCCCTTCACCTGTGCATTGATTTTACTGTCAAAACTCATCTTTCAACCCATTTGACATGATCACAATTCTATGAGGAAATGCATATCGCCTGTCCTGGTTGGAGTTTGCATTGGGGATGCACTGCAAAAACTGTCCATCTTATCAAGTTTTAAAATCTTATATCAGCCAAAAAGTCTTTTTGATCTTGTTTTGAGACTGATTTACTAAA